GCAGCAAACTGGGATCTCTGTTTTGACCAAGATTATACAAGATGAGGTGGTAAAAGAACTGCATGAGAAAAGAATACTGATTTCTCAGAAACACCTAAATGGTGCTTTAACTTCATGAAGAGGGAAGGTTTGAACATGAGGACATGAACAAAACTTGCCCCAAAACTTCAGCAAGCCCAGGAGAATCAAGTTTTGGAATTTCATTCTTAGGTTATCAATCTTCGAAAGACTTACAACTTTAAGTTGTCCCAATTTGCCAAAATGGAGGAGATCCTACTCACATTTAATGTGCTATCCAACAGAACTAGGGACGTCAAAGGAGCAAAGACCTTGGTCACTGAAACTAATGGACATGAGAAAACACATTCCACTGTAGTTCTAACCTGTTGTGCATATCACCTATGATCATCTTTAAAAGACAAACGTTTCTGAAAGGAAAGATTCCTAGTGAAGTTATTATCTACGTGCATGAAAAAGGATGGATGAAGAAGGCATGAAAATCTACTTTACAAAGTCTGATCACAAAGACCTGGAGGATTACTTAAAAAACCCTACCTTGCTTGTTTTTGCTCACTTCAAAGCCCATATTACACAAAGTACAAAAGCAATCACAAAGAACTTGAAAACCTAACTTGCTGTGATACCTGGTAGGATAACCGGCCAACTGCAACCTCTTGATGTACCAGTAAACAGGCCCTGTAAGGCTCTAATGAAGAAAAAGTAGATGGAAGTCAGCTGGTAGTGATTTAACCCCAACAGGGAGAAACAAGAAGCATCCATCCTCATAAGACTGTATCAAGAATGAAGTGGTTTCAACAAATGCAGCATCAGCAATGCTATAGATGGAAGCAAGGACAATGAATTCACCAGGATGAGGAAAGTGACTCTTCAGAAATCACCGCTAATGTAAAAGTGAAAGTTGAAGAAGATGATACTTCTTTTTTTTGGAGACAGAGTCTTATTCTGTTGCTCTGAGTAGAGGTGCCATGGCATCATCACTCACAGCAACCTCAAATGCTCGGGCTCAAGCAATCCCCTTACCTCAGCCTCTTGAGTAGCTGGGACTACAAGCCCCACTACAACACTTGGATACTTTTTTTTTTCCTATTTTTAGTAGAGACAAGGTCTCCCTCTTGCTTAGACTGGTCTAGAACTCCTGAGTTTCAGCAATCCACCCCGGTGGCCTCCCAGAGCGCTAGGATTACAGCCATGTGCCACCATGCCAGGTCAAGAAGATACTTCCGATATTGACAGTGACAAAGAGCTCTGGGCCTTCTACAATGAGGAAATATTATATTTTTATTACTGGTACATAGAATTTCTTGTACCATATGATATTTTTTCCTAAAAGTTTAGGTCAAAAATGTGGGCATTTTTGCATTACACATGGCAAATTATGGTCTGAAACATTTCTATTCTTACCTCTAAAATAAATTTTTAAGAAACGATGAGGAATAATATGCCACAATTTAATCAAAGAGGAAAGAGAGACAAATATATACATACATAAATACAAATAGTTTGTACATTTAGAGAAAAAGGGTCATAAAATGGAAAAGTTTTTAAAAACAAATTTTCCTATATTAGGAGAGAGATAAGACAATAGAAAAGACAGATAGAAATTAGACCTATCTAAACAGTTTGCTTTATAGATTTGGCTTTGGAAGCAGCAAATTTTAAATATCTGTAAAATAAAAGATAAATTTCTAAAAACTAAAGATTAAAAGATAAATGAATGACCCTAACAATATATATTGACCTCATGATTAAGACCATACACTGAGTTACAAATTTATAGGAAATACAAAGAACAGAGAAACATAAAACCACACAAATAAGGATGTAATATCCAGAATGTGGGAAATTCTACAAGACAGAGGATCTAGGTTCCTAAATAAATTATAAGGGAAAAAAGATGAGATGAAGAGGGAACCTACAGGTTTAAGGAACATATGAACCAATTGGAATGTAAGGATTTTATATAGATTCAAAGTCTCCACTTTGGATAATTAATCTGTTAAAAATGAAAGAATGTGCATGTATTATTAGCAAAAATGTCTAAAACTGACATCTCTGAATTCTACTGTTCTTATTTTAAGTTACTTATGAAGATTAAATTGTTTACTTGGCTCTCTAAATTTACTAAGCTCCTTATACAAAGTTTTCTTGGCTTCCTACATATATTGAAAAAACCAGGAACAATAATGGAAAAAGCTTTAACTGTTCAGGTACAAGATAATTAGGGCTAGTATAAAACCTATTATCTATAAACATAATTATCAAGATATTAAGAAGAAAATATCTTCAGTAAAACAACTGGAGCATAGTGCTTTAAATCTCTGAACCACAGAAGTGACTGAGGTTATATAAGACAACTTCAATCCAATTTATTCATCTTATCTTACCTTTTCCAAACTCATTTACACAACCAACGCAGGAAAACAACACCAAGAAATAATTACTCTAAGGGGAAAATGATTCACTTCAACCCTGAATAAAGCTATCTGAGATAGAAAAATAAGCAGAAAAGGGCAAATTTTTAAATATATTATTTATTTTATTTAAATATATAGAAAAACTCAGGGAAAAAGTTATCACTTTGAGCTTTTGTGCTTGGCTATACATTCAGAAAAGCTTTTTAGTAATGGAGTGGTAAGTTCCAAAATGCTTTTGAAATCAGGGAAAGATAGCTGCTTGCCTTCAAAAACTCGGGATTATGTTTCAGCTGTCATCTTATGAACACACTAAGTTTGAGTAGGTTTAGTTCTTCAGGACTGAAGTATAAAATGTCCAGAGAAAATATTATAGTAAGAGAATACATGGAATTTTAGAGCAAGCTATTTAAGGAAAGAATGATTACCTCAGCTAAGTGGGATCTTGGTTTTCTGTGAGTGTATGTGGGAAGGAATAAACTTGTGATCTGAAAGAGTTGGAGGAGGAGGAAGAAAGTACATTGGAGAGGAAAGAGGACAAATTATTAGACAGGTGGGATACTGTATGGAATAAGCAGGTTCCATCAGTAGGATAAACACCTCAAAGGCAAGCAACTCAAAGTTGTGATTACACAGGATAGATGATTCATTAATATTCACTAACTAGTATGTGATTATTAAAACTAGGCAAACACTGTATTAAATAAATCTAGCTTGACCTGTAATCCTAGATTATTAAACCTTTTCTGGGGCTTTATTTTCCAACAAAGTCCAGATATTCTCTACATCTTCTAGGTTCTATTTATTTACACTTGCATAGAGAGATAAATATACAAAATACTAACACTAACTAGATCTCAGTTAAATCTAGACTTTATTTCGAAGAACATCTCATATATTTGAAAAGATTGGCAGACATCCCATAAAAAGCATGAGCTTTTTGAAAATAGAGTCTTTCTCCTTTTTAAACTTCGCTCTCTAAATCCAAACATCCTTCAGGAAAGTGCATCAGATGTAGCTTACCTACTCAGTATCTCAACTTTTCTTTCCAGTGTCTTAAGATTTTTGCTCTTGTGCTTTTTGATAACCTAAAAGTAATTTCTAGCACACAGTTCATAATTCAAGCCAGTTTACAGTTAAGGAAAAGATTAGTATTTAGTGTCCTTAAGGAGATAGTGGTCTCTAATAATAGTATCATCCCAACACTTTTTAAAGGGGCAAAAAAATCAGTGTATAATGAAATTACCAAGAAACAGCACTGTACAGAATATTTTCTTCTATATGGAAGTCATTCACTGTTGAATACTTGTAAGAATCGGCAATAAGACATTCAATCACTAAATATTACCATGTTTACATGCAACTTTTAGTTTTCAAAAGTACTTTCACATTCCATTTAAGTATTTTTAGTGCTTTTCCTGAAAAGGTCCAAGTGTGATAAGAAAAGAGAGAGAAGGAGAGACGAGAAGAGAGGAAAGGAATTATTTCAAACACAAATATTACAAATTTAATGTGATAGTGGTGGAATAAAAACTATAAATCAAGAAACCTCTTTCTAAGCCCAGTTTTCCTTGTAACCTGCTTAATGATTTCCTGTGAGTCATTTAATTGTTTCTTAAATTGTACAGAAAGTAGTTCTTAATAATAGTGCTCTTAAATTTGAATTTATAAAAGTCCATTACAATTATTTTCAAGTACTGTATTATAGTAATAGCCCAAATAAATGTACATGTACTTCATTTTGCCATATGTATTTAGTTCTTCACTTTTGTCTCAATCTGACCTGGATCACTTAGCTTGCACACTCAAGATGTACTTTAGAGGAAGAGAGACTAGGGAAAGACTCTCACAAGATGGAATGACGCCAAGTAGATTAGGCAGTTAAGGAGTAAGTGTTTAAGCACTGAAGAAGAAACCTGCTTCAGTAAAGGGTTTGGGGGAACTGGATGTAACAAGATTTGAGAGAGCTCCAGAACCAAGGCTGCCCGGTAATCAAACCTCCACCCTTTAAATCCTTATTCCCCAATGGACACCAAACCAGGCTCCAGTTCCGGGTTCCCAACCAATAGTATCAAGCCACAACAGAGGGATCTGCCAACCCGGGCACCGTTTCAGGGTTCCAGAGTGAGAATCACACGACCCCTGCACCTGTTAGCCCCACACCCTACCCCAATGAAGAGGAGTAAGAGAGAACACTACGTCTATCCTTGGTCCTTTTAGATTCAAGCTACCACTAGGTCCATTAACCCTCAAATTTGAAACCACCAAAATTGCTCCCTCCAGGAGCAAGGGAAAGCTCTCCGGCTGTGATCCTTCCACGTATCACTTCCCCAGGCTAATTCTCCAGCTTACAGGTCTCAACTCCCGACCGTGCTTTCTCTGGCCCTAGGTATCCTGGGCCTGGAACCGAACAGATGGATGGTGGGAGAAAGGCAGCGAAGGAGAGAGTACACTCCTCACTGCGAGAAGAAAGGGTAGGAAAGCTGGGGCAGCAGTGCTCCCCCTCGGCGAAGGTGGCAGGCCGTTCGTGCGTCCATCGAAGGGTCTGTCATTCCCTCACTCACTCACCAGGAGCAGCAGGGAGCATCTGAGGTCGGGTAAAGATAGGAAGACGGCAGGATTCATGGTAACGCTGGGGTCCGCAGCAGGGACAGGCGTTGGCAGCTGGGACTGGGCTGGGTGAGGTTGGGATAGGAAAGGGATAGGCTCCCGGAGCCGGCGCGGCGGAGGATTCTCCGGGCAGCGGCACCTCGCCCTCTCGACCCGGGATCCAGCGGCGAACACCCGGGACAACTTCCAGAGAGGCCTCGCACACCCTCACTTCCGGGTCCTGCTTGTCGCGGGGCACTTCGGGAAATGTAGTCCTACACTACCCTCACGTAATACATCATAGGAAGTCTAGAACTCCCTTTCCCATTAGGCGCTTGGTTTGTCCACCGAGAGCTCTATGCGCGAGGCCTTGTGGGATAAAAAGGGAGGAGGGCGGGTGTGTATCCGCGCTTCAGCGGACGGGAACTACAATTCCCAGAGGACTATGCGGCCAAGCGCTTCGGGGTGCCTTCTGGGGCCCTCCGCTAGCTTCTGCGCCTTGGAGGCTCACCCAGCTGGGTGTAGTGTACTGGGTTGGCAGGAGGGGCGGCCCGGGTGCGGGTCGCGCCTCCCGGAGCCGCCCCCGGGACGTCAGTCCTGGAGGAGGCGAGGGTGAGTAGGAGGGGGCCTGGCTGGGGAGGCTCTCATCGATCGGTCTGCGCCGCCTTGGCCCCTGCCGCGGACTCACGGCCCTCCTGGCCTGGGCTGTGGCCTGAGCCTCCATCATTGGCCTCCTCTCCTGCTGCCTCTTCTTTCTGTACTAATTCCGGCATTGTAAAGTCGGAGCCTCCTGCAGGGCCTCGGTTGAATGAGGCAATGACTGACCTATCCCTAGTTCTCTGAGGGCTCGTGTTAGGAGTAGATATATAAGGGGTGGGAAAGCACCTATAAAGTGGAAAGCTCAGTGCGAGAGTAATTGCTACTAATTAGTGGATCACTCCCTACTGGATAATTACGAAATTCCTTAGCCAAGCAGTTGAGAATCTTAACCTCGCCTCAGGTAGCGCTCCAGCATCTTCTGTAAACACTCAGCCAGGTATGAGCGCCCAAAGTAGTCACTACTAAGTACTCAGGAGGCACACTAGGTGCTTTTGTGGTTCTCCCTACTGCCTGCCTTTGTTCAAGCTTTCTTGCTGCTGAGATTGGCCATACTCCCTTCTCTTTACGGAATGCCATCTTCAATGTCATTATCTTTGAGAACTTCCCCAACAGCCAACTCTTTAGTCCTAATCAGAATTACTCTTTCTTTGTGTGTAACTGCAACACCACTAGTTTTGTACAGTTATAATTTGTTAGTTTTATTACATGAGCTTGTTCTATAATTAATGATGATAACTTTAATAGCACTTTAAGAAAGTGGTTTTGAATTCATTTATAAAAAATGACTTACAAAAAAGGGGGTGCTAAAAAATACATTTCTGTTAAAAAGTACACTAGAAAATGGCTTTCCCAATGTGACAAAATTAGTGGCAGAGCCAATACTCTTACTTAGTTCCCCCACTTTGTCCAGTGCTCTTATCTGTACCATTCATCTACATCTCTGACAGAGCCCCAGTGTAGTTGAAATGGGAAATTTAAAAAGAGGAAGGACTCAGAAGTATCAACTCATTATTCTAAGAAATTAAACTTTGATCTGGCTCAGTCTCTGGACTTAGCACTCAACCTGTGACCTTTTATTTAACAAACATTTACTTAAGCACTAACTATATACCTGTTACTATAGTAACTGCTAAGAATTATGAGGAGAAATATATATGTGTATGTATTGTATGTATACGTATTTATAACAGATCTAATTTTCAGTGTATGTGTATATATATATGTATATATGTATAT